ATAAACATGTCATTTAACACTTGTTCTGTTGCTATTTATTTGACTAACCATTACCATTACCAAAATTACACACCACTCTTCACGTTGGCAGTGAGGTTGACTCAGAAGAGACAGTAATGCAGTGAGTTTCAAGTGATGTCAGGAAACACTTTGTTTCTCAATGCAGGATATTGTTAACTTGCCAATAGTAGATCAACATCATTCTGCCACACCACAAGCCAATTTAGCTTTGCAAACTATCTCACACCAAGTATTCTTGGGACACAATACTACTAGGTGTTATAAATAACGTGCTGCAGAAAAGAGGACTGTGCAGGAGAGTGAGAAAAGTTATAAAGAGTAAAAATAAATAAAATACAAACTTACGGCAAATACCCTATACATTCACTGATTAAATCTGTATGACCCACTTGAAACTTAAAAACATTAGTTTTGTCTGCAATAGAGGGAACACTATGGCAGGTTATGCTCTTCCTTGAGTATTTTTGATCATGCCACTGTGTTCACTTGTCCTTTGAGTTTATTGGAAAGCTAATAATAAGCCAACTTTGGGCCATCACCTAAAAGCCCTTCCACTCTTTTTTTCTGTTTGCAGAGGTCTTTCTTTAAAGAGCACAACAAATTAAAATAATTTATGAAACTTTTTTAAGTGATGTACATTTACCCAGCTAAAATAAGTGAAACTTAAAAAAACTAAAAATCCAAACAAATGAAAACAAACTTTAAAATATAGATGCTCAAGCTCCGATTATGCTGCTGATATGTTTTGCTTAAGGTATGAGTGATTTAAAGAGGTTATAAGATATTTGGGGAAGACTATTCGACTTATTTTGAACACTGTGTGTCTTCCACTGTGCTGCCTTGATCATCAGTATTGATTTTATTTCTCCCACTAACTTCCCTGGTATTTTTAGTCTCTAGCTTGATTTTGTGTTGACTCTACAGCTCTTTCTGATTTTTTTTTCATTCCTGTTGTTTTGCCGTGCAGTGAGTGAGTAGTCTTTACATCTTGCGTTATTCAGATTACAAGTAAAGAGTTCTTACAATCTGTACATATCCTTAGCAGAATCTACAGATTGTTATTCCATTCTTCCTGACAATAACTTACATTCACATAGCGCCTTTCATCCCAAAGGATTACATTATAGTTTACTTACACAGTGTCTTTAAAGTGCTGGATAAGAACAAAGCATACTACAAACTGACATATGATCTATGCCCTAGATCTTTGGGTCCAGCTGATCTGCACTTTGCACAGGGCCTGGAGGGGATGTGTTGTGGGGAAATAGTCAGTAAGCAACATTTCTGTTCCCTTGATCTTTGGCCCAGCTGGAAGCTGAATCAAACTGGTTCCTAAGTGATCAGTTTACTTGGGCGATATAGGGACCAGGATTTGGCCCTCTGTCTATTAGTTTTCTTATTCTATGTTTCTAGACTCCACCAAATATGTGTTGGAGCTTTGAGTAAACACATTTAGACTTTTCTTGATCCATGTTACCTAGTTTTCCCTGCCTACACTGGTTTATCCTGATTGTATATCTCATTTTCCCTTTTCTGTATAGCATTAAGGTGTCAGTCAGGAGTGAGGGAAGGAATGGAAAGAATCACATAAGTTAGAGTAAAGGGATATATAAAATCAGTGGAGGCAAAGGAAAGCAAGGTGCTGCAAAAATGCTCACTTTTACTTCTTAAATCTGTAAGTGATATGAGATGTCTGATCATACATCTTGTATTTATAATGCTCCCAGAAGATTGTTATATAAGATGACTTTTTAGTAAAGAAATATGCAAAGTCTGTTAAATTAATTCAGCCACCTACTGAATATTCTGTGTTTGTACTATAAATGAAAATCTGTATTTCAGTGTTCTATTTACTAACCTTATACAACTGCAGAATTAAAGAAAACTTTCATATTGAAAGGAACTAGAATGTAGGATATTTTTCTGAGGTTCTCTTGGTCTTATTGTTTTATTTATTTTGTTTTATTAAAAGCTTATTTCTGCCACACAGCCCAGTCTCTTCTCCTGTTTGGTCCTGCCATGAAGTCATGATCCTATGTCTGTGATGTCACAATCTGTTGCTAAGAGATATGACAAATACAACTTTGTTACATCAGTACAGGATCAAATTTGAAAAGAAAGACTGTAAGGAAAGAAGTAGAGCTGGTGGAACATAAAATATGCTGTTGTGTTAAACTGGAATGTTTCACTGAGATGTTATAGTTTCAACAAAGACCTTATCAAAAAGGGATGGCGAGGGCACTGGTCTGGGGTGTGTGTTCATTCTGTGCACTGAAGGCGGTGCGGTCATGTGGAAAAAATGTTCTCATCATGTAATTAAAAACATTGTCATAATACATCACTATAAACAAGAGGGCTGAACTAAAGTTGCACAGGCAACTGTGAAAAATGGCATTTTCTAATTTTGTAGTGCTTAACTTTTCAACCTAAATAGCATTCTTTTCACATAATATTTTTGTATGTACTTTCCTAGGTTATGTTTTTAGGAAAAAGGTAAAAACAAATTCTATCACATGTAGCTGTAGCAACTACTCTATCCTGCATCATGAGCAGGGTTTGCATCCTGAACTTTCAGCAATGCAGAAAGACTGCTACCCTTTGAGCTACAGGACTCAGTACTTCAACTGATAGCAGGAAGCTGTGATCTCAAAGCAGGGAGAATGTACTACCGGTCAGGGGGAGTGGTCAGCAGTGGGGATCCAGCTTTTTCACCCCACGTCTCTGAAAGTAGGAAGAACTCCAGTCGCATGTGGTTACCCCTAGAGAGGCAGGAATGGGCTGCTGAGGCCAGGTGATGAGCCCAGAGTGGCTTACTGCTGCCCAATTTTACTGAGAAATGGACGTGAGAGAAGGAAAATGGTAACCTGTAATAGCTTTTTATCTTAGCAAAAGCTAAATGGATTTCATGGAATGACAAAGCACTTCTTTAGTCGGAAGGTGAACCCCCTGCCACATATCAAAAGCTGTTGAAAACAGTGGAGGTATGAGACCTTCTCAAAGAAAAGGTGCAAGAATCCTTTATAATGGAAAATGTAAGGCATCCGAAATATAGGAGTCACTACTAGCTCCTCCAGAATATGTATGTACACATACAAATGATCAAGTGTACTATTAGTTTAAAATCTATTCTGTCCTCTGTCTGTGGATGATAATTAGCATGAAAGTGGATGGAATTAATTTCTGTCTCTAACTTCTATTATCTCTATCACTCTGCCTGTCACATATGTAAATACACACTTTTATTTTAAATGAGCAGTCTTGTTAAATTAAAACACCAAAACTATTGGCTGATATTTTAAATTGTATAAAAATGTCTAGGGACTTTGGGCAGGAGCTTCCTGTTAAAAATCAATATAAATCAATATAGTACACTTTTGATTATTATCAACTGATAATGTGATAGCCATTTTAATGCAGCTATTTTAACAGCACATTGATTTGTAATGTAACAATAATGTAATTATTACGGTCATTATGAAATATATTTGTCTTCCACTGATTCTTTTTTCCTTTTCTTCAAGTAAGACTTCAGACCTAAAAACTCTCCTGTCAATTAGGTCAATAGATGTCTATCCCTTTATACCAAGTATCACTGTCATTCATCAGACTTTTGTATAATTTTCAAAAGAGAACTGTTCCTATAGTGGAGTATAAAACTAAATGGAAATTCTCCAACAGAAAGTGACACTTGCACTATTATATATTTTAGCATAGCAATTTTTTTTGAAGAAAAAGCTATAACATGGATATTGAGAAAATGGGAAAGAATAATGGAAATAGTTTAAAAAAGAAGTCAGGCAATTTTTTTACTAAAAAAAAAATATTGTCCCATTTTCGACCCAATAACTAGAACCATGTTTTAACTATACTAACAGTGGGCAGATTTGAGTAGTTGCCATGCCTGAGCAGACTTGTAAACCCAGCCTAAATCTCCATATTTTTTAGTCTTCAGAGACAAATTTTTCCTGGGTATCTTAGAAGGATTAAAGCTTTCACTGAGAGTTCAGTGACCTGACCTTTTGTATTGTTGCTGAGTTTGCTTTTTTCTTTTTTCCAGTGAAGATCAGGTCTTAATTTAGCTCCTGAGAATTGCCATGTCAGAAAATGGTTGTACTGTTTACCATCACATCCACTTACCTAAAAATCATGGATATTTTGTTGTCAGGAAGAGCACCAAATCCATAACACTGGGGTAAATTGCAGTCTTACCTATGGTTAATTATTTCATGTTTTCTTTTATGCTTCAGTTGCTACAACAGTTGTAAATACTGCCTAAGTATTTATACTGCCCTGGTGTGCCATAATGTTCTCTATTATTAAACTACAGTTGTTTTAAATATAATCAGAAAAGCACAAGATTTCTCAGATCAATGAAAGCTTCTGTTTCTTTATGACAAGTAAATAAATCATGCATGGTATTCACAGGGTAGGAAGAGGTTATGTGTTGTATTTGCACCCTAGGTATTCAAGATTCTTTACTGTTCAACACATCTAATAAAAAATAATTTACATCACATACAGTAATTTTAGTTAACCATAAAACCACATTCCATATAGACCAAAAGAAATGTTTCTAGGTTTTCTCCAACTAAGCTCCTGGTTAAGCCTGGATTTTTCTTTCTCCCCTAGTGTCCCCCACAAAGGAAATGCTAGTATATTATAAACAATAATAATCTAGGAAATTCCCAAAAGCTTCTCTTCAAAACATACCAATCCTTGCTACCAAGAGTAACTTGAAAATCATCAGAGCCAGAAATATGTTTAGTACATAGTTTGTTTGAAAATATCAAAATCCTTGTAATGCACCAGCTTCACTTTTGTAACACTATGTAAATCAGATCACAAATGGCATTTTTTCCAGGAACTAGTTCACTAAGATACATGCACTGAGATATTTATTTAGAGAAATACAATGTTCCCTTTGGAAATTCCAGTATTTCAGGTTGATCTAATACCCTCTTTATTTTTCTTCTACTCACCATAATGAGTTTCTATATAGACAATTGTATTCAGCAGTGGTCTGTGCCTCTCCTTCTTTACTTTGCCTTGCTGTTGCTCTCCTATTAGCTGTAGCTATGCAGTCCTTTAGATACAATGTTCAGGAATTGTGTTATGTTTGCATTGAGCACAGATGCAGCTTTTGCACTTGCGGTCTGCATCATGTGTAACACCCTCATTCCTTCCAGTCATTCATTCCAGGGGAGGAATGACACCAGGTTTTCTGAGCTATTCTTGCCTTTTCTTCCAGAATACTCGGGGGGAGGAGGGGAAGACTTCGTGATCTCCATGCAAACTACCAGCCTGTCTGCTGCCAGTACTGCCTGCTCTTTCCAGTGATGACATTCAGCTTTGCTCTACCACACGGGATACAGCACTGATTCCTCATTATGTAAGGCAGTCTAGGTCAAGTGTAGGAGAGAGACTGCTGGCCTGAGCAAGCCAGTGGGATTGCTCCTTCAGCTTAATGCTTCATGGGGTATGGAAGTGGATTCTGACCTTTGCTACATCTTCTTGGGTAAATGTTTTTGCATGATTTAGTGGTAAATATGCTGTTTTTCTATGCAGATGACTGTCAGCCATGCTGTGAGATGCAGAGAGAAATTGCTAGTAAAAACCAGCTCTGTCAGCATGCTTGAATAAGCAGAGTAATCTTTCTTCTAGCCATCCCAGCTTTAAGGCACTTTGCAAATAAATAAATCATAAATTAGGGTTTGCTTAACAAACATCTTCTCTATCCATGTGGGGATTATTGTTGATTTGACTGATTAAACAATGAACAAAATCCATTTGCTTGGAGGTGTTGTAGGAAAGCATTATTAGATGTGGCTATTAGCTCTGAGAGATTTACTGCAATTCTTGGCTGTTGCATTGCCTTTGCCTCACATTACAAATATGCTTCCTTCCCAAAAGAGCTGCTTTATATTTTATTTCCTTGCCTTACTTGATTATTTTTAATGACAACAGTTAAAGTCTGGAGGATATTCAGCTATTGTTTATTGTATGACTGCATGAATTTACACAACCGTTATATACTGGAGGTGAATGCTGCAGACAAAACTAGTGTTAGTGAGCCCTCTGCAGAATGTCAGGACACTATATGCTGGCTAAACTTGCTTTAGGTTTTTGGTGCACCAGGGGAACTCAAATAAAATTGTTAAATTTATACTCGTGTTGGAAAATGAACCATAAAATACACGGAATGGATCTTTCTGTAGACTGCTATGTTCCTACAGTGAGGGTTGTCAGGTGGTGAATAGAATGATCACTAATGGAATGCAGCAGAATAGGCCCTAGGAAGTAACAGCATAACATTGATACTGCAGTCTCGTGTAGGGAATTTCAATAAGGCTGGCTCACTTGTTAGGACAGTTACCATTTAATGAGGCAAATATAATAATTTGGAAGTATTCTGGTATATCAGGAGTCCTTTATTCTACAGCTCAAGTGCGTGTATAGCACCATGGACAGCTACTAAGCACTGTTCAGTAAAGTAAAGGAGTGACAACTGAATTAAAGGAGGTGGTAATTTGTAAAACTGAAGACTGCTTAAACTAAATATGAGTGGATGTGAGAGAGCTTCAGTCAGCATGTGTATCGACTTATTAAATTCTATTAGCTTACTACTAGGATCTTGAAAAAGAGGCTGTTTAATACATAACTTTAAAAATTATTCATGTACATACTATAGTATTTCGTCTCTGTTAATGACCACCTGAACATATTTGAAAAAAACATGTGTAAAGAATTATAGATTTTCCTACCATAGAAGGTATGGTATTAAACAACATTATGCTCCAATTTAGAGGACTTTATGGTTTAACAGTGGCATATTTGTTGATGAGAAAAATTTTGTTTGATTCTTTCTTGTATCTAAATAAGATGGAATATATACATTTCCTCCAGAACTAATTTTGATGGGGATAATCCCTTAAACATGCTGTGTCCCATTTTGCAAAGTAATTATTCCTCACTTTTTTGAAAATAATCAGTTAATGGTTTCAGTGCAACACTGTGCTTGAAAGTGATAATGATAACTTCCATAATCATTAAGAGCTCTGTCTCCCCTGGCCCAATGCTGTCAAACAATCAAGCTGTCTGTTTATCATGATCTCAGCTCACCAGTTTCATTTGTTAAATGAAAATCTTTCTTGTGATAACACATGTTCAAGTTGTACTATATGGTATAATTTAGCAGAAGTGCCAGGCTGACACCTTTTATTAATTACTTTGTGAAAGAAGAAGTTAGAGTCAAGAAAATACTTCTGTCTGACATAATGAAAACACCTCTTTTACTATGCATAGTTCTGTTGTATAATATTTTAAAGGAGAATTCTGGCAGTTCAATGTATGCAGCTGTTTCTTGAAAGCAAGCTACTAAAACAGTTGTAGCATATATTGGTGTATGGATTTTTTAAAATCAAAACTGAAAGGCACCACACAATGATGTGCCTTTACTGCTCTGATGAAAGTTTGTTAGCTTGCTTCTGCCTACACCACTCTAAAAGAATTAGTGCATTGTGTCTGAGTACATAAAAAGGAGCCACGGGATAGAATATTCTGAATATAATTTTTTGTATTGGTTCAAAGAATGTTAACAGCCTAAGCTATTTAATTACACAAAGTCATTGATTTCTTTTTAAAAAAATATATGCGCTGTTTTTTAAATTTTATCATCATAAATTCTACTTTGTGCACCATTGCAGATGTTGTAGATTGCAGTGCCGTTACAATATCTCGCCAAGGCCCAAATCCATGACTAAGATACAAAGGGTTAAATTCTGGGACAGTGTGAAACTCATGTGCAGGCTGTGTGATCAGCCATATATAAATACAGGGCTGAGGACTGAAATGCACAGTTCCAAACTGCAATATGTGATATGGAATTACTCCAAAATAGCTACTGCAGCATATGGATTGGGGTAGGGACTAATGGCCACTGTTCCCTTTTCATGTGTTTCTGTGGCCTGATGGAATTGCTCAGTTCATGGACATAGTGGCCACAACCCTGGCCTGCCTCACAGTATCCCTCCCCTTTCTACACTTCATACTGTATAGATTAGGGTCCCCCTGGGCACCCTATATCCCAGTCCCACACAATGAAACCAGTTTTCTGCAGCATTATGGACCTTCTGAAATTTGCACTAAAAATTAGGAGTACAGAAAAAACACTGTAGTATGGGCTGAAAAACCTGGGGCACAGCTGGGGAATCATTGAAAGATTTGACAGAAACATACAGGAGTGGAGGAGCTTCATCGCTGCTCTAAACATGTAATGGGAACATGATGATGATGATGATGATGAGATTTACAATTATTTTGGAATAATTTATTTATCATAAACATCTGTGACAACAGTTTAATTATGATGTCAAACAATTTACAATATATGTGAGTATCATTTGTATGAAGACAAGTTTGGGTCTCAGCTTGGATCAGTCCATCAGAACTGGGCAATTGCGATATATGTATTGTGTGTGCTGACAAAAATGATTCAAACTATACTAGCTAAAATTAGAATTTACAAACGTAATAAAGCAAAGCTGTAAACAGCTTAATATGACTGTATCTCACCTCAGATATAAATGCATATTGGTTTGTAGTGTTATAATTCAAAAACTTCAGACAGGCTTGGGCTTTTAAAAATCCCAAGCCTTTGAAATGCAGAACTGTCACTTTTCATTTGTGTTTAGTTCCATGCTTTGCCATCCTAGGTACCCACCTGGGTAAATTGTAGAGATGCTCTGTCTCCAGTACAAAAATAATTCTCTCTCTTTCTCAGAGGGTTTTCAGCCTTTGCACTGTAACTGATTAGAAGAATATAATATTCTATTTTCTCTGGACATTAGCTGGTTGATTTTTTTCCAGTTTCTGGTTATCCAGCAAGGATGGTTTCTTCCAACACTACTTGCCTCCATAGCTTTTCTGTGACTGCAGAACTATTCATATTATCAGTTGGGTCATTTCTATCTCTAACCTATCAGGTTATCTGGATCTTCTCTTTCTCTTGCCCTGGGTTGCCTTATAGATTCCTTGCACCCCATTTTTCAAACAAAGTGCAACTCTCGGAATAAATTTAATCCCCAGAACATCATCAAGTAAACAAAAGAGAAATTAGAAGACTACAAGAATATGGGGAGATCTTTTAATGCACTGGCATCTGAAATGTATGCTGTGGTCATATCTGACAAAATTGTTGTTTTCAGCCCCTGCTCCAGCAATTACACAGCATTTTCAGTATTGCTGGTGGCATGGTTTCCTGCCATTGCTGAACATCACACCTTTTGAAACATAATTCTAGAAATTTCCTCAGATTTATACATTAGGTTTTCCAATTTACAGTGTAAATGATGATGTGGAGTTGGAAAGGCATACAAGGACCAAAACCTGGCTTTTAAGCTACAGTTCATAAAAAAGGGAGCTGCACTGCAGTGGCAGCCTCCAAGTGCAATATGGTAAATTTACCCATTTATGCTCTGAGGCAATGTGTGCTTCTTTCCAACCACAGGGGCCAAATGCAGCATAACTAGTGTGATTCTTCTGTGCAGCAGGTGTAGGGCAGAATTGGGGGCACTTAAGCGTGAAGTGTGCATTGCTTCCATATAATGGATCATGGTTCACAGATGCTCATTCACATAATTGCACAGGGATGCTTGAGGATCGGTCTGAACTAGAACCTTACAACCTGACCTGAACCTAACAGGTCCTGACAACATGTGTTGGGTTCAGGTCAGGTATGAAAACAACCCAACACTTTTGGGCTTGGGTAAGGTTAGTAGCCTCTAATCACCTCCTCCTGCCCATGGGGTTTGTGCAGGAGCAGCTCCGTGCCTTGTTCCTGCTAGCCACCGGTGCCTGGCTGCACTGTGGGGTGAGTGTGCTGATAAGTTGTAGTGCCTCTCACTCTGCAGCACACACAGTTCAGTGAGGCAGAGCTGGCTGGCAGGAACTGGGTACACAGCTGCACCATGCCAACCCCATGTGCAGGAGGCAGCTGTAGATGGATTACAGGTATGGGGACAGGCGTGCCGCCAGCTTTTCCGCCGCCCCAAAATGCCATCCCCCCACAGAGGATTACCGCGGTCGCCGCCCCCCAAATCGCAGCACCCTAGGTGACCGCCTAGGTCGCCTAATGGGTTGCGCCGACCTGTATGGGGAGCAGGAAGCCTCCCCCAGGACAAAGCAGCAGCAGTAGTGATGACACAGGTTTGAGGGTAGCGGCCCAGAAAGCGGAAACTTGCACCCCTTCAGGTGCACGGCACTGCTCTGAGATGGGGATCAGGCCATGGGAGTGAGGGTAGGAAATCATGGAGACCAGGCCAGGGCTAGACCCTTGCAACCAGACTCTCAAAAGGACCTGACTACAAGTGTTCGGTTTGGGTCAGGTATAAAAACAAGCCTGGATAGGTGGGAAGGGTTTTCAGCATGTGTGCAATGAGGAGTGAGCAAAATTTTTGTCATGATGAATAACTTGTGTATCATAAAGTTGCTGGCGTCTGAAACTTATTTTTAAATAGATACAAACAGTATCTTCCTTTTTGAGAGAAGTGGTTTGAAATAAGGTGGTACAAGCTCTTTTCCCCCCACTTATCTTCTTGTGGGAAAAGCTTACATGATGAGGGGAATCTATAAAAAAATTTCTGAACTGGGGCAGAATATATGGGTTTCAAATATTAAATATACAGTAAGGATTTACACTGTAGAAACTCTGTAACTGTTTATAATGACTTGCTATGGAAGAGCCTTCTGACCCTCTCAAATCCCAGGTCAGACTGCTTGGCATAGAATAGTTACGGGGTAAATTGGCGAGTTGTGTTAAAGCCACAGTACTCAGTCAGTCATTAAAAGCTACTGAAGTTTGGTGGGGCTAGACTACAGTACCTTAGTATATGCTCTCTCTGACAAAACTGGAGTGTAGTAGTTTTGGGCTGCGGTGGGGTAGCCCACTGCCTCGCTACAGTCCGAAAAGAGCCCCAAGCCCCAATCAGGCTGGGGCAGTAATCACACAGTTAGGCCAATACCCAGGCCCTTAATCAGGGACTGGGTCGGAGTTGGTAGCAGCCCAGGCCCTAGGCCAGGGCTGGGCAGCAAACCAGTAGTCAAGCAAGTACCCAGGCCCTTAAGCAGGGGCTGGGTCAGTTTGTGGCAGCCCAGGCCCTAGGTCAGGGCAGGGCAGCAAGCAAATAGTCAGTCAGAGGCCCAGGCCCTTAAGCAGGGGCTGGGCCGGGGTTTGTAGCAGCCCAGGCCCTAGGTCAGGGTGGGGCAGCAAGCAAATAGTCAGTCAGAGGCCCAGGCCCATAAGCAGGGGCTGGGTCGGGGTTTGTAGCAGCCCCCAGCCTCTCTAGGCCAGGGAAAAAGGGGGGAGTCTGCCACCCAAGGAGTGGGTGGCAGGGGGGACGCAGGCCCTCCCACTCCACTGCGTCCCAGCCCGGGGCCCTAGCAGTGACGGAAACTCGCTGCTGTCAGTGGGGATCCTGGCCGCAACCCACTGACATCGGTTCTGGCAGTGCAGCAGCCAGACTGGGGTCGGCTGCCCCCGGGCTACTTCCACACTCTCCCTCGTACGGTACCTGGGCCGTCTTAGTGTCGTCGGTGCTCTCCACCAGCATGGGCTCCTCGGGGTAGGTAGCAAAGGGCAGGCTCGGCTCCTTCTCGGGGTAGCTGGCACGGGGCAGGCTTGGCTCCTCCTCGGGGTAGCTGGCACGGGGCAGGCTTGGCCAGTCCTCCTCGGTGTACCTGGCGAGAGGTAGGCTCGACCGGCCCGGTGAGTTAGCAGGCCGCTCGCGGCCTGCGGCTGTTTCCCAAGCAGGAGCTCGGCCAGGGACGTCTGCTCTCTCCACCGGCCTGGCCTCCACTGAGCGCTGCAGGCGGGCTTTTATACTTCCGGGTTGGGGCCGTGACCTCGGAAGGGCGGGCGCCGGACCTGGTGGTTCCGCCCACGTTGGTAGTAGGGGAGGTTCGGCCCTCAGTGGGGCTGTGGGGTAGCCCACCGCCTAGCTACATGGAGCTACAAGAAATTCATAATGCGGTTAAAAAAAGTTTTGACTTGCATGCAGTATTTTTACAAGATCCTTTAGGTACCTTGAGCCCAGTTACATTCCACCACTGATACCTGAGGAAAAAAGTAATTTCAAGACCTATTGAACACTGGACACCTTCACAGTATATTAGTATGAGTGCTTCTAAAATTGTGATTGTGGAAAATTCAAAAAGTTCCAGAACTAAAATAGAAAGCAGGTTAGGCATGCTAACTAGTTCAAGACCTCACACAAGGATCCTTTTGTGTTGCACGGCCTGCATTTATTTATCTGAATTCTAGTGTCTCCTTATATAGTCCAGTTTGAAAATGACAACATTTAAAGTGCTATATGTAGGCAATAAAAGGAATACCTTGTAGCACAGACTGACAGAACCCAGTTTATACTTAAAAGTTTCAGGGGTGGGTGTTTTGCCACTTCACCTATCTACAAATCTGTACTTGCCACTGCCTTGCATTTTTGTCATTTTCAGAAATACCGGCTCTAAAAAGCACTACTTTTGGCAACAGTGTAATACTGACTGTGTTTGCCAGATCTTTCAAATCTTGAGGGAGATTCTGTCTGAAAAGGTGTTCCTTTTACCACAAGAAACTGATCTGTTGCAGATGTTTCAAGGACCTTGTAGAACTTTGCAACATATGAAAAAGATAATTCAGATGAATCTGCAAATGGTTAAAGCTAAATAAGAACCTAGCAATTAAGGTGCAAGTTTGATTCAAGAGACTGGTAATGAATTATGGATCTTTCCACCTCTGGGTCTGGGATTCATATTCCATCTGTGTACCTGTGAGCAGTCTGAACTGTTTGACAACTGTTCAGTGGCCTACATAGAATGACTAGTGGACCAATGTTCGTCTCATAAAAGCCAAGTTCACAACCAGTGATCTCACGGTGATCTTGGCAGAAAGGTCACGGAGTGAATATGCAGTCTTTCTACAACAGGATTGAGGCACATTCAAGGGGGAAAGTTTGCACAGCTTCTGTCCATTTTGTACTTGTCCTGTGCAGAGAAAGCTTCAGTTTCCAATGTTGTCAGGCTGGGACCTTTCATACTCAATAAAAAAAAACAGTTTAAAAACAATGTAGACCATCTAAAAGAATGGTATTGAAATTAAATATCTTGTCATGTTGGCATCCATCTTGAAAGGAAGTTTAATTTCAACAGCCTTTCTTGATACGATTTTGAACATTCTTACATACATATACATCTTTTTGTAGAGCAGCACAGTTCAAAAGTGCAAGTAACATTAATGTTAAAGAAACACAGCCGAGGTATTCTTAAAATATGTTTTCCCTATACTGTTTGTAATACCCTCTCAGGAGCTTCAAATACAACTTCTTTCACTATTGATTTTATCCTTTTCTACTTCATAAACAGAATTTTCCTCCTGTGTTCCTATAGCAGCTTAAAACTATAGGTTTTTTTTAAAAAAGCTCAGTAACCAATGTTGGTTTGGTTTTTTTCCCAAACTAAATATTTAGAATCTTAAGGATTATAATTATAATAACGTTAACGTTTGCAGTGCACATTTAGATGTTTATAGGGATGGATTTATTGTAATTGTTAGAAAAAATGCTCATAATATTGAAGTATTAGTAAATATTTAAAGCTGGATCATAAAGCCCTGATTCTGCAAGGTGCTGAATGCTTCCTATGAGGTGCTGAGCATCTTAACTCCCATTGCAATCAATGGGAGTTGAAAGAGCTCAGCTCCCCATAGGATTTGGGTCTAAGCAGAATTTAAACCATAATAAAAATCCCATGATGCTAGTATATAAAATAAGACATGAAATGCCCTATCAAGACAATATGTAAAATGATTCTGCTGGCTCCAGTGATCTGCAGACTCTTTAGTGTCAATGAATTACACATTCAAACATTTGATATCTACAATATTGGACAGGACAGCCTCATTATACATGGATGCTTATTTGTTTTTTATCTTCACTTGCCAAATGCATATATTACATAATGAAATAAATGCTTTATTATTTTCAGCTTTTCTTCCTCCAACCAGCACCCGATCCTTGTCTGCTCACTGCTAGGATTCCATCCTGCATTGTCCCCTTCCCTAACATCATTGGTTGCTCTGCACCCACCGTACCCCAGCTTTACATAGATAAAGCTATGACATTCAAAAGCACTTGCCTATGGTTATTCCAGTTTTTAACAGTTCATTTTTTGTCAAGAAACAAAACTAGAAGTGTGTAATGCTCTCAGATTTAGCTTTGATATAACAATAAAGCTAGGAGCCAGTGCAGTTGTGGGTTTGCTCTACTGGCAGGTACCGTCACTTAGTAGTTTGAATTTTAAAAATGCATAATTTTTTTAAAAGATTTGTCATTCTAAAACCTTGTAACACGTGGACCTAACATCACAGTTGTGTGTAGCAATACATTTGACTGACAAGACAGCATAATATACAGATGTGATATCAATCACATCCTGTCATATTAAGGTTTTTGATGATACTATAGCTAAATAATGGGAAATTTACCATTCAAATGCAGTGGTGAGATAGAATACAAATAGCAGTCAGTTGAGAGATGCATAGCAACATATACTTGAAGGGTTTCTGGTGTCATCATAATAAATCACAACAATGAATTTTGATATAAAGAAATCATTCCCCAAAAGAGGAGGTCAGAATAGATGACTTGGTGGTACCTTCTGGCCTTAAGCTCTGTCACTCTATGATATAAATAAATAATTCATTCCCAAGAGGTTTTAGTTTTATTTGCTTTGTCCCTATGTTTCAGAAGTAAACAGTATCCAATTTTTAAAACTTAAGTGAAAAGTTAAACAACAAAACAATTTTGTTTCATTTTGTTCATTTTTAAAATCAGACAAACTTAACAAACAATTAACTTCTTAGTTTAATCCTTGCTCTTTGTTTCTGCTCTAAAGGAATGTGGCTCTATAGAACAGATATGCACAGACTTGTAAAAAATGCTATTCTGGCCAAAGAGACTTAAAAAAATCTGCTGGTTACAGCTGGTTCTTTCATTTTGCCAGTAGATGGAGCTGTCCCGTAAGGTGAAGGCTCTCTCTTTCTCTTCCCCCACCCCCCACCACCCCACAAAGCTATTTGCTGTTTTCTATTAGGTACCATAGAGTGAGCTTCAGAACAGGAAGCTGAGGATGAAGCAGAGAGGATACTGCAGAGGTCTCTGTTTTTTCCCAATGAGAATGCAGCAATTCTAAATACTTGTTAATTTTTTGGAACTGGAAATATGAACAACTTCATTAGAGAGCATTTCATCAACATCATTTCTGGATGCTTTTCTTTCTTGTAATAGATTGGAAATTCTTGTTTTATCAGGTAAGCTGGCAAAACATTTAATCATAGACCTTAGTTCATTTATGTCAGTTATCTTGTGTGGGGGTTTTAAAAATAAATAAATATAAATAAATCCTATACCTGCCTGTTTTGTAGTTAATACTAAGCATGGGATAGAACAGGAAATCCAATTTTGGATTTTACAAAATCTTTCATAAGCTGCAGTCAGGTCTGTTTGGCAACACAGCATTTTTTTTTTAGAGGATGGATTTTATCGGCCTTATTTTTTGGATGTTTGCCACTTCTTGTATTTGTTTGCCTGTTATTGTATTAAGGCATTTAATTCCTTAACTGTCATTTAGAAGTGTTAGACCTAACTACTTGAGGTCTTATTGTTCATTAGTGCAGAGTACAAATTGGAGTCTAGTATTAAAGCACAGTAACAAGGCAATAGGGCTGCCAGAGCCCAGCGTTGCAGGGGTGTACAGCTTTCCTCCCATATTCAAACAGAGGCTCTGCTTTAAAGGCCAAATGCCTTACTCTGGGTTTTGGTGGGGGGTTGCTGCCTTTTTAAGGAAAAATCTTTCTAATGCAATACACAGTGGACAAAACTTACTTTTATTTACATATTTATTTGGCACTAGTGGTAATATTGCAGATATAACTCGGTTCATAATCTGAACCGTCTTGCTTTTTTAAACAGCACAAGAAATTTGCCAGGTGGACATCAAGCTCTTTCAGCATCTTTTCTAAAATGGATTTCTTCTCTGCTACTTGTCGGAGGTATGTGCTTAAAAAGACTGCATCAAATTCACGTCTTTTGGATTTCCTTTTCCCTGTTCTTTGGCAAAAAGTTTTTGTTGCTCACTATGCAGTACTTCCAAATGGGCTGACATTTTGATTTTAATGTCAGACTAGATATCTTAAAGTTATAATTGTGTTTTTTTCCAAATGCTCTTACTTTACAGATATGATGTCAAACTTGTGAGCTGTATTGTCTTTTGTTACTATCAAATGTGGCTGCTTTTCATACGGATTTTCAGTTTTATATATGACTGATCAATGTGTTAATGTAGTGCAAAAGAAAAAATTGCATGAAAAACCACACTGAGAATCTGAGATTAAATGGACAAAAACAGGAGAATTCATTGCAATTTTAGTTTAGTTTATCCTGTTGTGCCCAGGTTGTGTAGCACAGGAGTTTCACACCAGCGGATGATCTTAACTTCAACATTTGCAGCAATATTTAGGCATACAAGAGCAAGTCCCAGACAGTTAGCCTTAACTTTGGATGTTCTCATTTCTTTTGGTCAGTTAGATATTAGTTTTGTAATTCAAAGGTAATTTCCATTGTTTTAAAGTGTGTGGGGAGGGGTTAGGATGGGGAAAGCTATAGCTAACTTCCCCACTGAAATAAAGTTTTTTTGTATAAAAAATTCTTTCTATCGAAACTTCGGGGGGGTGGGGGGAGGAGGATTTTCCACCATAACTATATTTTAAATGAAAAATAATGTTTGGCTACAGTGATTTGCAGAGAAATCATGCCAAACCAGTTTGATTTCCTTGGTAGATGGGGGAATGCAGCGAACATAATATACCTGAACTTTAGCAAGGCTTTTGACACAATCCCACATGATATTTTTATAAGTGACCCGGAGAAATGCGGGCTTGGTGGAACTACCATTAAATGGATACATAATTGGTTAAACAACCACAAACAATGAGTAATTATTAATGATAATAGTAATTATTAATGGAATGATGTTAAATGGGAAGGAGGTCTCAAGAGGGGTTTAGACCAACAAATCCTGCATCTTGACGGGGTTAGACTAGATTACCCTTGCATTCCCTTCTAACGCTATGCTTCTGTGACTCTATGATACAAATGAACAGTTCTGATCACATCATAAATCACAAGAGCAGTGATCAAATGATTTTATAATTATCATCTGAACCCTGGCATGAAATTAATTTACTATACCTCATTGTAACCTGCTAGTGTATTTTACATTCTATGGATCCAAATTTGTTTTAAAGGTACAGAACATAATGTGCACTATTTAAATAGCTGCAAAGATAAAAAAGATTTTTCAACTAATTACTTTTGTGTTAAAGTGAGGTGGCTTAGAAATCTCAAAATCTACAAATCTCAAAATGCCCATGAATATTGCTCATTTAGCTGCATTATGCCAATGAGAGAAACTTCTCTTGTCGACGTAAAACCAGCTCAGTGAGCGGCAGTATCTATGTCAGTGGGAGAGCATCTCTCGCTGATACAGCAGTGTGCACACAGGCGCTTATGCCGGCAAAACTTATGTTGCTCAGGGGTGTGTTTTTTCACACCCCTGAGCGACAAAAGTTTTGCCGACATAAGTGCTAGTGTAGACATGGTGTAACTGAACATAAATATAAATCTTAGAACTGAATTGGCTCCAGATGCTGAACTCTAGATGATATATTTTGGTCTATGTGGTCCTAGTCCGTTATATTTTTGGCTACCTTAATTTACTGATGTGAGACTAGGGGCTTGTCTATACTTACGCGCTGGTTCGGCGGCAGGCAATCGAACTTCTGGGTTCGATTTATCGCGTCTTGTCTGGACGCAATAAATCGAACTCAGAAGTGCTCCCCGGCGACTCCGGTAATCCTGCTCATCGCGAGGAGTACGCGGAGTCGACGGGGGAGCCTGCCTGCCACGTCTGGACCGCGGTAAGTTCGAACTAAGGTACGTCGACTTCAGCTACGTTATTCACGTAGCTGAAGTTGCGTACCTTAGTTCGATTTGGGGGTTTAGTGTAGACCAAACCTTAGAGAGTATGTAGGTTTACTTGTTGTTTGTCTTGATGAACAGTTTGATCTTTCAAAACTTAATATGTAAAGTGGCATATTCTTTCTTGACTATTTTTCCTCAGTGTATTTATAATCAGATGTGCTTACTCTAGTGGAAAAGTGAATTTTTACTACATTTTACTCTTGTTTGCCCTCCAGAGTCAACACACCCCTGGGAAAGTAGACTCATGCAACATGAACAGAATTGTTAACTGAGTGCCAGTAGGAGGGCCAAATTCTGCCCTCATTTACTCTATTGAAGACAGTTGATGTATATGTTGCAGACAATGGGATTCCAATGAGTAATTGAGAGCAGAATTTGGCCTGCAGAATTGTTATCATTGCTAAAAAGAACATAGCTTGACTTTCCGATCTCAGGCTGAGTTTGCAGGTCTAGCAGGTAGAAAAAAACATCTTTTCACTTGTAAACTGAGAAAATTTGATATGGAATTATTGAGCTACATTAGATATGGAGTCCCATTATGCCATTTTCAGTTTTCAGAGCAAAGTTGCACTTTAAAGGTTAAGTTTCTCTCTCTTTAAAAAAAAAAGGTTTCACAAAGCTAAAATTTCTAAAATAGGGTCTTTAAGGGAATTTAACTCTGAAGTCATAATGGAGAAATTATGGCAAGGCTAAGTTGCAAAAACTAACATCAGAATTTTTTTAAGTACATCAGAAGCAGGAAGCCTGCCAAACAATTAGTCGGTCCACTGGATGATTGAGGTACTAAAGAAGCACTCAAGGAAGACAAGGCCATTGTGATGAACCTAAATAAATTCTTTGCATTGGTTTTCACTGCAGAGGATGTGAGAGAGATTCCCACACCAGAGCCATTCTTTTTAAGTGACTGATCTGAGAAATTGTCCCAGACTGAGATGTCAATACAGGTGGTTTTGGAACAAATGGATAAATTAAATAGTAACAAGTCACCAGGACCTGATGGTATTCAACCAAAAGTTCTGAAGCAACTCAAATGTGAAATTGCAGAACTATTAACTGTGGTATGTAATAACCTATCACTTAAATCACCTATTATACCAGGTGACTGGAGGATAGCTAATGTGACACTTAAAAACCTGAGGTGATCCTGGCAATTACAGCCAGTAAGCCTAACTTCGGTACCAGGTAAATTGGCTGAAACTATCAGACACATAGAAGAACATGATTTGTGGGGGAAGATCTCACCACTCTATCAGAATTCTATGAGGGGGTCAACAAGCTTGTGGACAAGGATGATGCAGTGGATATAGTGTACTTGGACTTTCAGAAAGCCTTTGATAAGGTCCCTCACCAAAGGCTCTTGGGCAAAGTAAGCAGTCATGGAAAAAGATGGAAGGTCTCCTCATAGATCAGTGACAGGTTAAGAACTAGGAAACAAATGGGTAGGAATAAATGGTCAGTTTTCAGAATGGAAAGAGGTAAATAGCAATGTCCCCCTCTGTCCACTGCAGTTCAACATATACATAAATGAGCTGGAAAAAGGGGTACAGTGAGGTGGAAAGTTTGGGGATGATACAAAATTACTCAAGATAGTTGAGTCTAAAGCAAACCATGAAGCGTTACAAAGGGATCTCACAAAACTGGGTGACTGGGCAACAAAATGGCAGATGAAATTCAACATTGATAAATGCAAAGTAATGAACATTGGAAACCATATCCCAACAATACATACAAAATGATGGAGACTACATTAGCTGTTACCACTCAAGTAAGAGATCTTGGAGTCATTATGGATAGTTCTCTGAAAACATTCACTCCGTATGCAATGGCAGTCAAAAAAGCTAGCAGAATGTAAAAACCATTAGGAAAAGGATAGATAATAAGACAAAAACTATCATAAGGCCATTATATGAATTCATGGTATGTCCACACCTTGAATACTGCGTGCAGTTCAGATGATCACATTTTAAAAAAGTTATATTCCAAATGGAAGAGGTACAGAGAATGGCAACGAAAATGATTAAGGGTATGGAACAGCTTCCATATGAGGAGAGGGAAAAAAGACTGGGACTGTTCTGCTTGGAAAAGAGATGACTAATATGAGAGAGGCCTAGAAAATCATGAATGGTGTGGAGAAAGCGAATAAGGAAGTGTTATATACCCCGTTACATAACACAAGCACCATGGGTCAATGAAATTAGTAGACAATAGGTTTAAAACAAACATAACACACAAGGCATAGTCGGCCTGTGGAACTCATTGCCAGGGGATGTTATGAAGGCTAAAAATATAACTATGTTCAAAAAAATTATGTAAGTTCATGGAGGATAGGTCCATCAATGGCTATTAGCCAAGATGGTCAAGGATGCAACCCCATGCTTTAGGTGTCCCTAAGCCTCTGACTGCCAGAAGTTGGGACTGGATGACAGAGAATGGGTCACTTGATAATAGCTCTGTTCTGTTCATTCCCTTTGAAGCATCTGGCATTGGCTGCTGTCAAAAGATAGAATATTGGGCTAGATGGACCATTGGTCTGACCCAGTATGGCCATTCTTATGTTCTTGTATGTAATTATACACACTTCATCACTACTTAAAGCAGCCGCCACTGGGATGGAACACAGCAGTACCAAACAAACACAGAAAAAGATCATTTTATATGAAATTACCGAACAACTGAAATTAGTGTCCACCATGGAGAGAAAATCTGGCAACTCCTAGACTGTCGTCTTTTTCTCAGTCTTATGTGTCACTTGCTGTTAAGATAAGCCCTCCTGCGGCAACTATTAATTTACTGAAAGGAACTTTTATTTACATTATTAACGTCTGAACAGAATATTTCCGTCATCAGTGACAGCATTTTTAAGTTCAGAGTCATATAGGCTGTTTGTCCTTCATGTTGTTGAGAAGTTATTTGGCTTATGTTGCTCATCTTTTTGACACAGTTCTTCTCTGCTTATTCTCTCTGCTCACATACTTGCTTTGAAAATTCAATGCTTAGTCCCACACATTTG